CCCCCCCCCCCCCCCACCATCGACCTGAAGAGGAGAGAGACCAGGACCTCACCAGTATGAGTGTGTGAAGGCCTCCTAAAGGAGAACAGAGTTGGTCCTGGACGACACACAGTTGACAGGAGAAGACGGCCGGGACAGAGGAAGTGACCGACACCAACACACTCTGTCGGTTTGGTCGGACGGACAACAGCCACGAGGGCACGGCTGTGATGGAGGAGAGGAGGACGAAGGAGGACAAAAGAGGGTGAAGGTGGATGAAGGTGGAAGGACGTCAGAGAATAAAAAGAAAAGACAGTCGGACTCACCGCTCTGGAAGGGACAGGAGACGTGATGGCTGTCCTGTAAAGACAACTGCAGCCACAGACACACACACGTCAAATACTACTACACACACACACAGTAGAAGACATGAATATGAGGAAGAGGATCAGTCTGGTCCAGTCTGGTCCAGTCTGGTCCAGTCTGGTCCAGTCTGGTTCTCACCTTCACACACATCTGAGGATGTCTGTCCACTGCAGTGATGTCATAAACCTGTGAGGGAGACACTGGTGTTGACATGTGTCCCACAGACTGCTGGTCCACTGGACCATGTGTAACTCCTGACTCAGAACATTTATAAACTCGGAGCGAGGCTCAGTTCTCCAACCGTACCAGGTGACGGCCGTCCTCCCTCTTGTCCAGGGTGGAGTTAAGGTCAGACAGGCAGGGACGTCCCTGCTGTCCCCAGCACAGATGGGCGGAGACGTCCATGGTGTCGGCAGGACAGACTGATGACCACCGTAAATATGACTGGTACTCCTGGAGGAGGGAGGAGCGCCACACTGCTGAAACATCTGCAGGAGGAGAAGAACAGACGTTCACAGACCACGATGGTCCACGATGGTCCACGATGGTCCACGATGGTTCCCCTCAGAGAACCAGCAGTTAAAAAAAAAGACCTCTGAAGACAACCTTCACATTCTGAAGGTCTACACAGACTCACCTCTGATTGGCTGGTTTTGAAAAGGGCACCTATGATGTCGTGGTGCGTCCAGATAGGTGTAGTAGACCTGAGAAGGTGGAGCAGATGGTGGAGCAGAAGGTGGAGCAGATGGTGGAGCCGAAGGCGGAGCAGACGGTGGAGCAGAAGGTGGAGGTGTGAGAAGAGTGGATTTATCAAAACAACAGCGAAACAACAGGCGGAGGATCATTCACCTGGACACAGACGCAGGGCAGCAGGTGGGGGGGGCGGAGGACGGCTGAGCTGGACTGGGACAGAAGACTTGGTCAAATGTGAACTGTGTCTGTGGGGACTCTCACACACACACACACACACATATACCTGTATTTGTATAAACATCTGACACTCACAGAGACCAGGACAGAAGACGAGTTGCCGACACAGTCACCGTTTCTATGGTAACACCACCTGGTCCGCACCATCACGTCCGCCTCCACCCTCACGGTGACGGACTTTGACGACTGATCCACCGACAGATCAAACCGTGGGACAGGACCTGAACGGGGGACACACGGCCGTGTTGGTTGGTCTCAGATGATGGTGAAGTGGAGCTGACATTGACCTAACACTGTAAACTAGTTCTGACACTTCACCTGTGACGGTGTGGCTGTGGGAGCAGCTGCTCGTTGTTGTACTGAAGGTCACCGTGACGACAGTTTGATCTTTAGCTGAGATACAGTCGTACAGCAACTCCCACTGCTGTGACGAAGGACAAGGAACCATCACCATCATCACCATCATCACCATCATCATCACCATCATCACCACCACCATCACCACCACCGTCATCATCATCATCATCATCCCCATCATCACCATCATCATCATCATCCTCATCATCATCATCATCACCATCATCCCCATCATCATCATCATCATCATTACCATCATCATCATCATCATCATCCCCATCATCACCATCATCATCACCATCATCACCATAATCACCATCATCATCATCATCATCACCACCGTCATCATCACCATCACCATCATCATCATCACCATCATCACCATAATCACCATCATCATCATCATCATCCTCATCATCATCATCATCATCACCACCGTCATCATCATCATCATCATCCCCATCATCATCATCATCATCATTACCATCATCATCATCATCATCATAATCATCATCATCATCATCATCATCATAATCATCATCATCATCATCATCATCCTCATCATCACCATCATCATCATCATCCTCATCATCATCATCATCACCATCCCCATCATCATCATCATCACCATCCCCATCATCACCATCACCATCATCATCATCACCATCATCACCACCACCATCACCATCATCACCACCATCATCATCATCATCATCACCACCGTCATCATCATCATCATCATCATCCTCATCATCATCATCATCATCATCCCCATCATCATCATCATCACCATCCCCATCATCATCATCATCATCATCCTCATCATCATCACCATCATCATCACCATCATCATCATCATCCTCATCATCATCATCATCATCATCCCCATCATCACCATCATCATCTCACCAGGGCCACACTGGAATTCCCATACTCCCCCTGCTGGCTGATGCTGGGACACCAGACGTCACAGGAACTGTCTTTACACTGACACAGAGAGGACAAATATGTTTGAGGAGATCATGGAGGAGATCATGGAGGAGAACATGGAGGAGAACCTGAACCAACCTTGGTCTTTTTTCTGCTTTTCCTCCAGTTTGTCCTCAGGATCTCAGTGAACGGAGAGAGGATTTCAATCTTTGGAGACTTGGACATGTCTTCACATAGAGACAGACACAGTTTTTAATTCTACTTGTCCCCCCCAAAAAAACCTAATCAAATAATTGACTTTTTATCAATAATAACCTATCTAAAACATGACAGTAGTAGGGATCCCCCCCCCCCCCCCCCCCCTCCACAGTCCACTCTTCTGCCAACGTCCACGTGGCCCAAAATGTCAAATAAAACAGACATCACATTAGAGGAGAAGGTTCAAATCCCGGACTGTACCTGAGGTGTTGATCCAAACATGAAGAGAGACACATTCACTGTAGATCTGTCCAGGCTCCAGGGACGGGACTGGGACCAGTTTTATAGGACAGGGTCCTTCAACTGAGGCTGTCAAAGAAACACACAGAGGAAGAACTGCAGCCAAAGATCACAGTGGGGGGGGGGGGTGGGGGGTGAAGACACTGAGGAATCCACTCACCATTCTGTTTGACCAGCTGTGGGACAGAGAGACAGACCAGGGACAGACCAGGGACAGGTCAGTATTTTTACATTCACACACTTGCATCAAGTCAAATCACAGGTCACTGACGCTCCGTGTCACATGACCAGTCCAGGTCTGTGACGTCTTCATGATCCAACAGTGATTGACAGCTGACAGACAACGGAACAGAACATGTTCCACCAAGTTCTGTCCTTATAACAATAACAGTAATAATAATTGATCCCGCTACACCATGGAAACGACTAGAACTAAAACAGGTGTTCTTTATAAGAACAGATCATCATCAGAGGAGGAGGAGGAGCGGCTTCCACTGAACCAATCACCATCGAGTTCCTTCAACAGTGATTTTCAAGAGAAGTTGAATAAAAAAACTAGTTGAAAACAACATTTAAAAACTCGTTACTGAACTGAGTGACCGTGAAAACCAGGCGCAACAACTGCTGGGCAGAAGTACTACAGTAATACTTCAAGTACTACAGTAATACTTCGAAGTACTACAGTAATACTTCAGTACTACAGTAATACTTCAGTACTACCTTTCACCGTGTTCGAGTTCGACTTTTTTATTTAAGGTCCACCAACGTTGTTCTGGTTTTGTTCTGTCCTGGTTCTGTTCAGTTCTACCAGTCGAACTCCTCCTGGTACCAACTAGAGAAAGAAAAACCCAGTCGGTTTCTCACCTGACATGTTCTGGACACCGAACCGCTGAGCCGCAGCGGCAGTAGAACCAGAGTGACAGCCAGGAGCAGCATCTCCACCGCCGGGTCACTGACGACTCTCCATGATTCAAAGATCTCACCGAGTCTTCTCTCCACAGCACGACCTCTCGACGACTGTCTTCCTGACGCGTGTGGCGCTCACGCATGCGCACTGTGGCCTCTACCTGCGCTACTGAGGGAGGTTTCCGACGGTTTCTGTTGTTGTTTCAGTTTTTGTGTTAGTTCTGAACGTGGTTGTGATTGGGTGGTGGGGGGGGTCAGGGAGGGGGCAGAGGACAAGGACACGGGACAGCCCTGAGGCCCCGCCCACTCCAACAGTCCGTGGCGTGTGAACCCAGTGGGACAGAAAGAAAACTGAACAAATAAATAAAAACATCAAGAGTAGTAAAAATATATATATATAACAAGTATATGATCATCTTTATAATAATATTTAAACAATGAGTGAAGTCCAGTGAAATCAAACCATAAACCTGAGCTCATCCTGAACTACAGCGCCCCCAAAGGGACATCTGGAGAAATATCCTCAAACTTTGACTTTTTTTTCGCGTCCCTAAATCAGGTCAGTCTGTCACAGTGGGAGTCACCACAGTGGATAATCTGCCCCCCCCCCAGCTGCCCCCTGCAGCTGACAGGAAGTGACCCACCTACAGCAGTGGTTTGTGTTTGATTCCCGTCTCTCGTTTCCACTCAGACTCTGAAGGTCGGCAGGAAACGTCGACTCAGGCTGTTGTCTCCACCGGGGGAGGTTCCAGCTGGGCGGGGGAACTCTGCAGATGTTCTGTAGGTAAGGAGCTGAATGTGTGTTAAAGTGACAGGGTGTGAGCCTCCCCCCCCCCCCCCCCCCCCAGATCTGTTTACACCACTTCAACACTCAACTTACTGTAAATGCTGTAAAAACCTGAAGAACCAGAGACACAACAACAGTTAGAGCTGGAGATTCAACCAATGACCTTCCTGCTGTAAGGCATGAACACTACCCACTCCACCACCACGTGGCTCTTCACACCTCTGACTACTTTCATGTCCAGTCACGTTCACGTCTTCCGGCTATTTAAGAAATGTGTTCCTGGGAAGTACAAGTACACCTCAAAAACTCTGTGGTAGTGGTAGTACTGCGAGTGCAGCAGTAAGAATATTCACCCCCCCCCCCCCCCCCCCCCCCCCCTTCCTGTTGTTGTAAAAACGAAACAAAAACATTTTTTTTTTTTTTTTTTGCCTCTTTCTCCACATCTGCTGAAACTGTCGGTGTCGACGTTCCTCGTCCCACAGACGACTGTGGAACAAACAAACTGAGTCAGTCAGTCTGTACTGAGTCAGTCTGTACTTAGTGTCAGTCTGTACTCAGTCAGTCTGTACTGTCAGTCAGTCTGTACTGTCAGTCTGTCTGTACTGAGTCAGTCTGTCTGTACTGTCACCTGGGAAGTACTCAGTCAGTCTGTACTGTCAGTCTGTACTGTCAGTCAAAAACTCTTTGTATAAATACATTTGAAGTAAAACCTGTCGTTGTGTCTAATTCTCTGCAGTTTCTTTTTTAACCCTGATCTGAACACAAACAACAACAACAAACAACAACAACAATCAACAACAACGTTAAAAAAAACAACAGGATTTTTTTTATTGAACTTCTACTGTTATGTTATCTTATTATATAAAAGTTCTACAGCCACCAGTCTGGGAGTCGGACCGACCGGTTCTGTTCAGTCCTCACTCTCTGACCAGCGGCCTGTGCGACGCAGACAAATGTACACTAAGAAGGTTGTAAAAAAAAAAACCCCAACAACCATGTGACAGGATAAAGAGACAGTCGGAATACGGTGGTTGGAGTGATGGTAGGTCAAAGGTCGGCCACGAAGAAACCAACTCCTCTGGAATAAATAACATCTGACTTCAATCTGGACCAGAACTTTCTCTTTGTGCTGGACTGACCAACAACAGCGACAGCAGCACCAGAACTGTTGGTTTGTGTGAGTGAGCGTGACAGCCACAGACCGTGAGGAAGTACTGGAGCGTTCTGATTGGACGCCCCGCAGCAGTGAAGCCTCTGAAGATGAACGGTGAGGTTTTAAAGTCCAGGTTTGTCCAGAACCTGTAGGTGTCGCTGTTCTACAGTAGTGCTGGAGGTGTGAGTACAGAACCCGGTCAGAAGGTTCTGCAGGACCGACAGATGTTTGTGTTTGTGTGGAGATAGAGATTTATAAGCTGCACCTTCTGGAACATTCTGATTCAGAGTTTCATCTTTTCATAGTTTTCTTCTCAGTCTTACTTACAGTATTTAACAGGTCAGATCAGAGCTGGTCCAGGTGGGCGGGGCTTTGTGTAGAGACCTGTGAGAACTCCACTGCACCACAGGCCTCAGTGTTCAGTCACTGTCGCTGGTCTCACTGCTGGGGTCTCCCTGGACCTTGCTGCGGTGCTGCATGGCCCGGTGGTACGCCACCTGCACCGACTTGCGGATGTTGGACTTCCGGCCCTCCAGCATTTTCTCCTTGTCCAGCTCCTGGTCCACTCCGAGCGGCACCAGCTTAGAGCGCGGCAGCCACTGCCTGCAGGGGCGGAGGGAACAACGTCAAGTTAGTTCTACTTCACACCAGTGCGCCCCCTGTGGTCACAGTCACTTCTGTCAGATGGTTCAAACAACAAGATGAAACAAAGATCTGCTCCTTTATTACACACTATACGGCTGGATTTTATACACTGACAATAACCTTCACCTCCTCACCCTCTACTCCCTCTACTGGAAGTTATAGATATTGCACTGTAACGTGGACTCATCGGTTCAATGATCAATAGTTCCAGACCCTGAAACTTAACAAGAACGGACGCTCTTGTCTCTGCCATGACCTCACAACTCCAGTGCATGATGGGATACATTGAGTGACCTTCACAGTGGACTATTTCTACAAACCCCCCCTCCCTCCCCCACACACACACACACACACACAGAGGAAACGCAGCTCAAACACCAGTGTGTGTCTGGTTCCAGCCTCTGACCTAAAAACCTGGTTCCCTCTCCTTCCTGTTCTTCTCAAAGCCACACTCGCCCTGTTTCTGTAGAATGTTCCGTCAGCTGCTCTGACTGAAGCAGAACTCTCGTCTTTCAACTGCGACCACAGCGTTAAACGCACACGTAGACAGTTTCACCGACGTCTCGTCTTTTCACCCTTCTTTTTTTTTAATGTTCTTGTAGAACGACGACAGAACACGTGAGAACACTGACCAGGTTCTCTTGTTGTCAAAGAACAGCACCAGGAACAGATGCTCCCTGGCCTCCTGGGTCATCTGCTCCCCCAGCTTCAGAACGTCCAGAGGAGGGACGGGGATGGGGACGCCTCGGTGGAACACCCCCTCCCTGGGCATCTTTGGGTCAATGATCTGTGTGGAACAGGTCAGGTTAGTCCCAGCATCAGAACCAGACTCCAGTCCAGTCACAGCGTCAGGTTCTCGTGGGTCTCACCAGAGCAGGATAGGACGGGTATCCTCGGCACTTGGCCCACACCAGGTCCAGAGCCTCCAGAGAGCTGTAGTCGTCTGAGGTCATCCAGCACCCGGACCTGGAGCGCCCCCGCACCACTGACACACACACACACACACACACACACACACAGACAATGAGAAATGTTTCTTTATTTAACCACCCTGACCTCTGACCTCTGACCTCACTGTCAACCCTCTGTGAGGATTTTCACCAAAAACTGTGCATCGGCATAATCTTCAAAATTAAACTGGTGAAAATGAACAAAAAAAAATGACATAAAATATAAACAAGTATTATTACTTCAAACCTCTCAGATTTACACAGATGCGTTTGTGTAAATGTGTGTGTGTGTGTGTGTAAATGTGTGTGTGTGTGTGTGATGAGAGCTCACAGTGTGAAACGCTGCGTGAACCTCCCACAGAGTAGGAGTCGTTCTCGGTGCCGGACGTTTCTTCACTGCTGTCTTCATGGAAGGCTGAGCGAGAGAACGACACCTTCCCTCGGCCCTGTTTGGACGGAGTGGTGCTGGGGGGGGGGGGGGGGGGGGGGGGGGGGGGGGGGGGGGGGGGGGAGAGGAGGGGGGAGAAGGTTAATAAAAGTGCAGCGGTCTCCATGGTGACCATCAACAACCACATCTAGCCTACAGGGGAACCACAGTGTCTATGTGAACAAACCAACAGCTGATCTTCATCTAAACCACAGGAGCTGACAGTGAGTTCCAAAACCTCCTGGAAAAACCTTCAAGGACTCCAGTCAGTGACACAGACAGAGAATAGATGACTGAGCCTAATGTCAAAGGTCAACGCCGAGCCGCAAACATTTTCTGCTGACCTGCAACAAGCAGCAGTCAATTCCTGGTACGACTGTGGGCGACAGCCAAACCTCAGTTACCGACAAACTCCAGGAAGTCACAACCACTTCCTGTCAACCTTCAAACCCTAAACCTGTCTTATCTGACACCTGGAGATGAAAGGAGAGACGCGGCAAGAACGCACATGAGGTCGGATTGTTTAGGCACGCGGCAAGAACGCACATGAGGTCGGACTGTTTAGGCCGCGCGCGTGTGTGTGTATGTGTGTGTGTGTGTGTGTACATTCATCAACTCCTGCAGTGTTCACAGCCACTGTTGTTACTGTTGTTGTTGTTGTTGTTGTTGTTGTTGTCAACATCACTAGGACGTGTGTTAGCAGTCCAGGCTCAACATGTGGTCCTCGTCCCTGTTCCTGTCCTCACTGTCACCTACACTGACCCAGAAGTATGAATCTACAGTCAGATCACTGGTGTCACCTGGTCCTGTCAGACGCCGCGCTGCTGCTGCTGCTCGTCGTGGACTCAGAGTCGGAGCTGGACCGCGGCAGTAGAGGCTCGTTCCTGTAGACGCGGAAGCTCTCCGTCACCGGCTGGTTCCCACCGTCGAAGCCGTTACTGGGCAGACCTGAGGAGAGCACATGGTCCTGGTCAGACCAGGTGTGTGTCTGAAGTCTGTGTGTGTGTGCGTGTGTGTGTGCGTGCCGTACCTGGCAGCAGGTGGTCGTCACTGTCGCTGTCGGAGGTGGAGCTGCTGTGGGGGCTCCGGGGTCTCTTCCTCTGCTTGGTTTGAGACATCAGGGGCAGCTGCGGGGGGCCAATGGAGCTCTGGCACACCCCTGCCCCTGCGTAGCCGGCGTCTCGGTTCTTGGGGGGGCGTCCTGGTCTTTTGGGGGGTCCAGTCATTTTTTGGTTCTTCTTTGAGAAGAGAATTGACGTCCGACGTCCAACTTCTGGAGCCAAAGCAGAGGAGGAAGCACTGAGGTCTGGAGGGGGAGGGTCGGGGTGGGGGGGGGCACAGGAAGAGGAGATGTTAGTAAACAAATCAACATCTGTGAGCGGACATCGCGGCCCATAAAAACTGATAAGAACATTTCCTCCACCTTTTCCACTGATCTCCTGGCTGCTGCTCTCCCCCCCCTCATCGTGATGACCTGACGAGGATGGATGAAGGGGGAGCGACAAACCACGATCTCCTCCACCCGCTGACTCCCGGCCCACCACTCCGGAGGGGCCCTCCCTCTGATGGGCCAGCTTCCTCTTGATGACACTGATCTCCTTCCTCAGAGCTTTGGCTCTGCGGGACTGACCGATGCTGTGCTTCCCTGAGCTGACCTCCTCCAGACGCTCCTGCAGGTACAGGAGCTGCCCCTCCAGGGACAGTCGTCTGCGTTTGACTGGCAGGTCTGAGGGGAGGGGGTGGGGGGGTATTATTGTTTAGGAGTCAGGACTAAAACCTATGGTTGAACGAATATGTTCTGCTTTAAAAGGTTTTCAGTTCATGTTTAACTAATAATTGCAAGAAAGATCGGCACCATCTAGTGGCTGAAACGGTTCACTGCACTCTCCTCTCATGCACGTGTTGTTCTTGGTGGATAATTATGATAATTACTGAAATTATCTCCAAATGTCCTGAGATGTTAGAGGTAAAGAAGTGTGTTTTCACTCACCGTCTTCATTACAGGACAACGGTCGCTCTCGTTCTCGTTCTCTGTCCCGTTCTCGTTCTCTATCACGTTCTCTGTCCCGTTCCCGTTCTCGTTCTCGTTCTTGTTCCCGCTCCCGCTCCCTCTCTGCGTCCCTCTCTTGGTCACGCTGACTGTCGGGGTGGGGCTCACGTTGGAGGTGCATCCCAGTCTCGTAGTCGAAGCCTATCCGTTCAGCGTGGCGTCTGGCCGTTCTTATGACGGAGCCGCCCATCTCTCTGAGCCGCAGGGCGGCGCGGTAGAACACGGTGTCCTTGGCGTTGTACTTGAGGCAGTTGTTGACGATGAGGCCGAAGTCTGCTTCAAAGGCATCAAAGGTGAGGTAGCGGTGGGATTCAAGAAGGTTCCACATAGTCTGGAAGTCCATGGGAGTGTCGATGTGGTCCAGGTAATCTGGAACCTGGAAAGAAGGAGGTGGAGATTAGACTGGAGCGCCACCTGGATCTGAGGAAGTAGAACAACATGTCTATGTAGGTAAGAGGACAAATAAAAGGTGTACTGTAGAAGTAAGCTGTACGACCTGAGTGTGTGTGTGTGTGTGTGTGTGTGTGTACCTCAGCCAATGGCACCGGCTCAGTGAAAAAGTTGTTAGTGTCTCTTTCTTGTAACTGTTCCAACGTGCTCCTCAACAGAACAAGGAAAGGAGCCAACTGCATCTCCAGCGCCATCTGCTGCACTTTAATCTGAACATGGACACAGGTTTAAACCAAGTTTTATTGACCATCAAATAAAAAAAGTGTATTTATTGTTTGTAGACATCAGTGAAGTGAACGACATCAGGGAAAGTTCTAGCACAACTGTTTGATCAAATGTAGATCAGTCAGGAACTGATGTTCAGATGGAACAGAGTCTGGGACTAGGATCACACTGGGGGGGGCAGAGTCTGGGACTAGGATCACACTGGGGGGGGCAGAGG